TACGGTACCTATAACAGAAACACAATTTTTAAATTTTTTGTCTGTCTGTCTGTCTGTTTGTTGCGGCTAATCTCTGAAACGGCTGGACCGATTTTGACGGAATTTTCACTGGTAGATAGCTCATATTATAAGGGGTAATTTAGACTATTTATATCTTTGAAAAATAATTAGGGTTCTGCGCAACAAAATTAAAACCTTAAATTACACGCGGGCGAAGTCGCGAGGAACAACTAGTTTTATACATTTTATAAAATGACGAAAACATAATGGCTGCGTTATTTTTCATGAAAGTATTACTTTTGATAATTACAAATATTTAATAATTAAATACATTATAGAAGTTTATTTTAACACTCGACTTAAATAATAATGTAAAATTAATAATTTAAGTAAGGGAACTTGTAGGATTCAGTTAAATAAGTTTGCTCTGTTTAGAGGCCAATATGTTCATAAATATGGCTTCCTCATGCTTCATGTTTATATTCTTTTATTTGTCCCTGAAAAATATGAAGTAATAATAAACTTATGATCATTTTAGCTGCAAGGATTTTAAAAACATAATGATGTTAACAGAGTAAAGTACACCAAGTGTCTGAGGTTACAGATGCACTCTCTATTCTCTCAATCTCGGAAAATGTTCACTCATTCATGGACTGACCGCGGCAAGTGCCACTTAATCTCGCAAATCTATTGATCCGCGCCGATTCAATCCGATTACTTAACCACAAGTTCCTCTTCTCTACGACTAACGTTGTAGGCGATAAACTACGCTGTTTAAACCTTCGGTACAATATCGTCGGCCATCAAGCATGAATCGGGCATCGAGCGTTGTGAGTATCAAATACTATGTAATTTATACTTACTATCATGTCTCACGGGAGCGCGTCGTCAGTGGTGCTTCAGGAGTATTACTAAATATCTATACCTAACTATGCTAAAAGTTTTATCATTGTAACTTGGGAATATAATCCGAAGCTCCGCTCAACCCCTTGGGGAAAATAGCATAATGCTATGAATATTGTCCTAGTATGACCGTGAGGCTGTGACGTTGGTTAAGGAAGGTTACACGTTTATTTTAGTTAATAAATAGATACGAGTATTTAATTGGGTTCATAATGGCTTAAAAATAATAATATCAACTTTTTTTATTTTTAATGTACTACATTTTTATAATGTGTAAAAATATTTCTCTATTTTTATCTAAAGTTTTGAAAGTTAAATTTTTGAAGTCTTATTATAACTATATTATACTTACTGGTACAAGTAACGTAGAAATGGCTTCTTTTAATAAAATTGTTTTTATTTTACTTATATAAGGAAATAATGGGACAGGTACCAAAAATAAAAAATATAGATAATATTTTCATGCAATAAATTGTTTCTATCGCACTTGACACAACTACTAGCCGTGATACTGAACGTTGCGTAACTGACTATCCTCCAGAGAACGGTCTTGCAAATGCGTGACCACTATAAGGCGGGTATAAAACATCTACCTTTACTTAACCTTTTCAAATATTATTTTTAGAAATTTCCAATTAACCCACCATACCTCACTCTCACTAATGCGTATTTTACAAAAATAAGGTAAGTAATAAGGTTTTAAAAACATCACCCCTATATGTGGTAAAATGTAGTTTTAATAAACTACTTTGACAACTTTCCAGTTGTTGTTACCTCAAAGTATTTGATAATTCAAACTTCTAATATTTCTTAGTTAACTCTCAAGAGTCAAGTAAGTTAAACGTGAAAAAAAAACTAAACACGACTTAAAAAATAACATAAATTAATTTCCACTCAAAACAGCTTTTGAAGTTTGGGTCTTATTGCTTTGTTGCATTATGTCTTAGCACTGATTCAGAAGCTATTATGTGTTAATTATTTTTTTTGTTCTTGCTGTCGGTGTTAATTTTTTTAAGAAAGTTAATTATATAATAGTAATATACTACTTTTAAAATAATTTATAAATGTCTAAATTATTTCATTAATTTGAAATATTCACAATCTGTTTTGTATCCACAAGAGATTTATTTTGTTTTAATTTTAGCTCGCAATATTTATGGACGGAGCAGTTTTAACGAGATTAACTTTGGTGATTTATGAATGATCATATTTTATTAAAAAAATTATAGAATAAGGGTGATAAACGAGCACACAGTCCACCTGATGGAAAGTGGTTGCTGTGGCCCATAGATATCTACATCTATCTTGGTTTGCGAATTTAGATTAGTTTGCGAAAAATGTAGATGCGTTGTAAGCCGTGAGGACTAAGATAGAATTCCTCTTTTCCTGTAAAAAGGGCCTACAGTTCTCTACACTCACCATACGAAACACAGCGGCATTAAGCTACTATTTTACGCTGGTAATCTGTGAGAGCGTGGTTCTTCTCCAGTCGAGCTGACCCATTCACGTTACAACTATACTATTAATATAACTGCAGCATGGCTCTACCACGTATAAAATTATATATCTACAATATGTTACAAAAACCCTGTGGTTCCCGTTAAGGGCGTATTCAAATTTATAGAAATAACTTTACTTCAGAAAACTCTTAAATATTATATAAATAAACAAAATTGGTAAATTTTATGTAGATTGATTATCTCTGCCTGGAATTATCAAGTAGCTAACTACTAACTACCCAGCGAAACAGCAAGCAGTGGCGGTCGGCGGCGGCGTACATAAAAGACGGGGCACGTGCGCGTGCGCGACATACTTACACTAACTACACTAGGGTCATGACCTCTTCCCATCACTTGGCTGTTATTACTTTAGTATTCGATTATCACAACTCTTAAAATTTTATTTCGACCGATTGTGGTAATCATACACAAACACTAATTCATCACTATGTCTACTTGACAACTACGAAGATTTTGTTCACCATCGGTGTCGAAAGTGACTTAGTCTATAAGAATGCGGATTAGTCGTTGAACATACGTGTTCATTATGACACCTGTTTTAACAAAAGAGCATACATCCGTAAAAAGTACGCGGTTCAAAAAATCAGGATCTCCTTCTACCTTGTCGAGTAACCATCTACAGTAATTTATTCTCGGCTCGTAGTTGTTGCGAAGAAGACACTGAACATGACGATAATGATACGGGTGCTGGCTTTGAGGGCTCTCCAAACGCGCATATGGTTCACACCTAGTTCACGAGTGCGTGCTCCGGGTCAGATCTTCCCAAAACATGTCGAAAATGTGCTCCACGATATTGTCGTCGTACATTCTTGGTCTTCCTGAATCTGTACTTTGTTGATCACGGCAATGCACACTGCCAGTACTGTACATACGAATGTGAAGTCGTTGGAAAGTCGTCGCCGACGACAAGTGTATATTTTGTGAAGTAGCAAAGCGCTCCTCGTAAAGTCTTCGTGCTTGTGCATAATTGTAGTCACATTTCCCGAGACACATAAACATATTAAAATATTTCTCGTTTGAGTAAGACATAAGACAATTCACTCACAGAATAAGACACAGATCCGTCCGGAAGTCATTTATGCGGGTGAACAGCTATTAATATCAGCGCTAGCACGCTACTGGTGCTTTTGTTTGTTGTACGCATTGAGTTATACAATAAATCAATGGTTGTACGTGGACATGGCAAAACTTTACAACATAATTTTGATATTTTGTGAATCGAGGAAATTTGTTGTGATTTTTGATGAAATTTTTAATAATAGTTTTTATTTATTTATTTACTTCAGGCAGAGCCTGTAAGTGTTATTATCAAACTAAATAAAAAAATTAGTAAAAATACATTAAAACATTACGATAACAAGAAAAATAAAAAAAATATATGGGATAAATCCACCCAATAAGATATAATTAAACTGTTATGCAGCTGTGTTTTTCAAAATCTACTAATTAGCATTTTTTATCGACCGTCCATACACAACACTTATTTTTATTTCTATTCTTGACTACTGAATTGTGACAAAATTTCATGTTTATAAAACTTCTTATGTTTTTAAATATTACTATTAAATATTAACATAATAAATATATTAGGTAGATAAAATAAGTGAATCAAAATAAGTTATTCGGCATATAGTGGACGCTAGACGCTACCTTTGAACACTCGAAGAGTGGGGTTTTTTATGGGTTTTACCTATACCTAAGTCTTTCGTTGGCTAACGGTTTTGAGTTGGAGGAGTGCGCGAAACGCCGCGTATTTTGTATTAATTTCGTATTTCATAGTAATTGTGTCTTGTAATAAACATTAATATGAATTTATTTTATCAAATAAAATTTCACATGAAAAATACATACTAAATTTATCCTACAAACAGTTACAAATATTGGAATTAATCACGATATTTTATGCTTAGAATAAATTTTCTTAAATATTTTTCCCAGATCTATTAAGTAATAAAATGGAAATTTATAAAATAAGTATTCAAATACAATGTCTATTGGGGTTGAAAAAACACCTCCACAGCAACTTCTTAACAACAACTAGATCCAAAGTAAAAAAACTGCGATTGCCAACCCGCCTGCCAAAAGTGGAAAGAATGGAAAATTCCTTATGATATTATCTGTGGGGCAGCCAGTATATTCAGAGATGTACAGTAGTTGACTTTGATAGATTGTAACAAACTTAATTTCAGAAACTGTTAGATTTCGTCAAAAATCGTCATCTACTTCGCGGGTTTAAGAATCGTTATCGTTAAGTGACTTCGTAAAATGATATTTGTAAGATATTATAAAATAAATATTAACATATTAAATATTATTAGGTATTCAAGAAGGGAAATGGAATATTCATAAACTGCCAGCACATTATTAAAAATATATATTTCATTATTATTTATATTATTTTAAATTTAAATTTTCGGAGAATAACTGTGTCTAGCTAATGGCCCCTCTTCACGTTGGCCAACACAGTGGCGAATGTGTTGGCAGAGTTATTGGCCAAGAAATTGGGATCGCGTCCACACGTTGGAAGGTCGTTCAGTTTGCTTCGGTTCAGGCCAATGTGCGGACGAATTTATTAAAATGGATGTTGCGACGCTAACAGCTGCTGCAGTTTATTTATTCACAGCATACCGCTACTACGTGAATGTATATAAGAAAAGGGTTATTAAAAAGAAATGGAAAAAAAGAAGGTGGTGGATGTTGTCAATACATCGAAACAGAACAAGGTAAAACAATTTTGTATTATATATATATATAAATTGTTTGTTTTTATATCTTAAGGGTGCGTTTGCAAATCGGGCCAAATTATGCTGTTTTTCGGTACATTTTGTGACAAAACTAAACCAAATCAAATATAACTAATAACTACAACGTATAGAATGGTTCTTTATCTTCAAATGGTGGTAACTTTTTTGTTGAAAATAATAGTTTTTTACATTGTAAAAAGGATCTTCCCTAGCCATTTTGTACAAAATTTACGATACCGGCTCATGTTTCGGTACATGTTTTGTTCTATTATCAACATATATTAAGATTTCTAAAAATACTGTAAGTAGGCAGACATATTCAATAAAAAATGCTGGTGTTTACTTTTTATCAAAATGTCACAAATGGCCGTAAAAAAAATAAAAACTGATGCTTATTTTTTGACATATTTTGCTGATACGGATGAATCCTAATGGATTGCAATAAGGGTTATTTTATTTTTAGTGCCTGTTTTGATTTGTTGTACAAAAATTTCGATGAAACCACATACCACACTTACCACAGTCGGCGCTCGGCCGCTATCGTTGGTGGTCGCTGTATCGCCTGCAGCAGCTGAAAAAGATCGCTGTACAAACACAAAATATTCGAATTTGATACATAGGTGCATGACCTGACAAAGTAAAATAATACATAATATAAATATTTTTATAATCACAAATTCTTATTATAATGTTTTGTTTCGCTAAAAGCAAGTGGGATTTATAATATATAAATATATATAAATCCTATTCGTCTTGGACTTGATGGAGAGCCCTGATGATGTAATTTAGTGACTACTACTGGAACTCCTGGACGAGTAGAACTAGGTGTGCCGAGTTTGTTAGTTATGATGCGCAGTTGCCCTTGAATTTGGTAATACCATTTATATTTTCTCCGATGTGCCCAAACTCGCCACACCTAGTTCTACTCGTCCAGGAGTTCCAGAAGTAGTCACTGAAGTACACCATCAGGGCTCTCCATCAAGTCCAAGACGAATAGGATTTATATATATTTATATATTATAAATCCCACTTGCTTTTAGCGAAACAAAACATTATAATAAGAATTTGTGATTATAAAAATATTTATATTATGTATTATTTTACTTTGTCAGGTCATGTACCTATGTATCAAATTAGAATATTTTGTGTTTGTACAGCGATCTTTTTCAGCTGCTGCAGGCGATACAGCGACCACCAACGATAGCGGCCGAGCGCCGACTGTGGTAAGTGTGGTATGTGGTTTCATCGAAATTTTTGTACAACAAATCAAAACAGGCACTAAAAATAAAATAAACCTTATTGCAATCCATTAGGATTCATCCGTATCAACAAAATATGTTAAAAAATAAGCATCAGTTTTTTTTTTACGGCCATTTGTGACATTTTGATAAAAAGTAAACACCAGCATTTTTTATTGAATATGTCTGCCTACTTACAGTATTTTTAGAAATCTTAATATATGTTGATAATAGAACAAAAAATGTACCGAAACATGAACCGGTATCGTTAATTTTGTAGAAAATGGCTAGGGAAGATCCTTTTTACAATGTAAAAAACTATTATTTTCAACAAAAAAATTACCACCATTTGAAGATAAAGAACCATTCTATACGTTGTAGTTATTAGTTATATTTGATTTGGTTTAGTTTTGTCACAAAATGTACCGAAAAACAGCATAATTTGGCCCGATTTGCAAACGCACAGGGGTCCCGTGATGATTAATTTTTCTGCCGACTTTAAAAAGGAGGACGTACTCAATTCGAAAACCTCGTAACTTTTTTCTAGGTGAACCGATTTCGATGATTTTTTTTTATTTGAAAGCTGGTACTTCTTATACAGTCCCATATAGATTTGATCAAGGTCTGAAACTGCATGTCTTACCAGGTCGTCACTCCATCTAGTAGGGGGTCACCCGTTACACTTCGCCTATCGATATATCTATACTTGTATTATAACAAGTTGTATATAATAATATTATGCAATATTACGATATTTATTTTAATATTAATTAAAATGTTATATTCGATTTATATAATAAAAACTAAAATAAAATAATTTATATAATTAAAAGTTCAAGGTACAAACTTGTAAACCCTTATTTTAATGTAAAAAAATTACGAAAACAGTTTCTCTTTCGGTGGTATTTGATGGTAAAATCATTAAATTTACCAAAATTTTTCACGAGAGACAAGAATCTCAGTATCCAGCTGTCTTTGATATAATTTAATAGTTTTTGAGTTATTCTTAATAATTTTTATTAACTCCGTTTTGCACAAAAAATTTTATATTAAATTATTGTTAATTTCAGAAGTAGCATGGATAAACAACTAGCAGAACTTCTCGCTGAGCCATCAGGAGAGTTTGATAATTTTGTTCGGATGTCAGTTAACGATTTTGAATACCTATTACAAAAAATATCTCCAATCGTTGCTAAACAAGATACTGATTGGAGGGATGCGATTCCTATTAAAATACGACTGGCGGTAACATTAAGATATTTAGCTACAGGGGACAGTTACAAAAGATTGCATCATCTTTTTAAAATTTCAAGTCAAATTATATCTAAAATTATCCCAGAAGTATGTTCAGCACTCAATGAAGTTTTGAAGGATTTAGTAAAGGTAAATAAAAATATTTTATGTCAATACAAAAACTTTTTATTGATCAATGACTAAGGTGCTTGTTGTGTGTATTGTTATAAAATTCGCATTTGCAACAAAATAAAATTCAACATAAACACACAAGAGCCGTGGTAGCTCAGATGGTTAGCGCTCGCTGTAAGTTTCACAGCAACGCGAGCAACCCGGGTTCGATGCCCGCCGGCACCAATGAAATAGTTAATTGCAATTTTAAGTGCTGATTTACCACGTGCTCGGCGGTGAAGGAATACATCGTGAGGAAACCGGCATGTCTGAGAAATAAGAAAAAAAATATTTCTAAGGCATGTGAAGTTCGCCAACACGCATTGGGGCAGCGCGGAGGACACTTCCTTTGCCCTAAAAACCCTCTCAGAAATGAGAGGAGGCCTGTGCCCAGTAGTGTCACGTATACGTAAAATTCAACATATACTCGTTAGTAAATTTTTTCTTCATTCTTGTTCCGTTGTCGCTTTTTCAAATGCTTCAAGCAAGGTATTATTTCTTCCTAGTTGAAACGTCTCTTGAGATAGTATTTGAACATTGTTAGGACCCTCATGCGATATTTCTTGATTGAAGTTTTGTGGAAGCGTTGGTGTAATGTAGGAGCTACGTGATGATGAAGGGCGATTAATTAAGATTTGCGAAGGAGAAGTATAACAGTATAGAGTAGGTTGTTGATCAACAGGTAATGTCTGATGTAATCTCTCTTGATTGAAGTTTTGTGGCGGCGTTGGTATAGTGTAGGAGCTGCGTGATGATGAAGGGCGATTGATAATTATTTGCGGAGAAGTATCAGAGTAGAAAGGAGGTTGTTGAACGATAGGTGAGTCCGGAGAAATAATGTTTCGTGGCAGCGATTCATTCGAGTATGAAGAGCTGTGTGCTGATGAACTGCGATTATAAATAGAAGGTGAAATAATGGGCTCAAACACTCGGCCGCGGCAGTGACGACGTTTGTTTAGTATCGATCCATGTATTTCGTACATTATCTCTTCTCTTTCGTCTTTAGGGAAATCTTTGAGCTGTTTTGCCAGAAGTTTACAAAACAAATCAGCGTCATCATTTTCTTTATTTTTCTTTGTTTGCAACACACTATTTAATGTACTAAATGCAGCGCTCATCTGCTTGCTGGCTTCCTGTAATTCTGGCGGGTTTTTCGCTCGACGTTTCGGTACCACTTTACTCGTAGTTGCAGGGTTACTGTTCTCTAAAGAAGCTTGTAAGATACTGTTTCCTGCTTCGCTATTTTGCACTTCAGCAGTACTGCTACTTTCCCCACCATCAAATACATTAAAGCCTCCTCCTTCCTCTTTGTCTTGGGTCTGGAACAAATTAATGTTTATTTATTATATTTTATTTATATTATATTTGCAATGTGACCATTTTTTACTTCTAATACATATGCTTGGCTACTGCTAAACTTGACTAACTACAATTGTGTATCTTTTCAGATTCCAACAACCGAGGACGAGTGGTTATCTAAAGCAGAAGGTTTTAGTTTTCCCAACTGTATCGGCACTTTGGACGGAAAACATATCATGATTCTACCACCACCGCACACTGCCTCCGAATACTTCAATTATAAAGGGCATTTCAGTATTGTGATTTTAGCGCTAGTTGATAGTGACTATTGTTTTATGTTTTTAGATATAGGTTGCCCTGGACGAATTAGTGACGGAGGAGTATATAATCAAAGTGTTTTACGACAGAAAATTGAAACAAATAGCATCAATTTACCACCTCCCAATAGTAACACTAACTTGCCCTATGTATTTTTAGCCGATTCAGCATTTGCACTGAGTACACGTATCATGAAGCCATTTCCTGGACATCATGCACTAGGTACTCCAGAGAGAATATTCAATCAAGAACTGTCTCGATCTCGTGTATTCGTAGAAAATACTTTTGGTATTCTGTCCAGCAAGTTTAGAATTTTTAAAAGCAGTATACGTCTTGACGAAGTTAAAGCTTCTAAAGTTACAATGACATGCATTTTGTTACACAATTTTTTAAGAAAAAGCATTTATTCTCGAAATTCTTACACCCCTCCAGGCACAGTAGACAGTTACGTTAATGGCCAGTTAGTTCAGGGAGGATCCTGGAGACTTAATAATAAAGAAACATGTATTACTACATTGAACGCTGTACCTCGTAGAAGTACAATGAATGCGCTTGAAACGAGGGTAAATTTTATGAATTATATTTACGAAAGACGAAATCACAGTCAGGCGTAAACTGCTTAAGACACACCTATAGTTTAAATTGTAATTTTTTATATTTTATAATAAATTAAAAGAAATTATATTTTGTTTTACTTACATTTTCTTCACTATTGCAGATGCTTTTGCATTCATATACATCCCTTAAAAACACTTCTAGCACATCATAGAACTGCCAAATAGGCTTAAATGCATCTGCCTCTCCAATACCTGACTTCAACGATAATAATTTTTTTTTAAATTATTGCGAAAGCATGTCATTAAGCTCTCTTTTTTTTTCTTTAATTCATGAACTGGTACACCCATCGTATCTGCAATACGTTTCCAAGAATCGTTGATCTGAAATAAGTTTATTGTTAGGTTATTAAACTAGCTACCAAGCACGTTACTGCCACAGAAGAAATAATTGTGGAATAAAGAAAAATTGAAGAAAAATATTGTTTTAAATTTAGAACAGTTATATTGTTTAACTAGCTATTCCTGCGACTTCGCCCGCGTGTAATTTAGGTTTTTAATTTTCTTTTGCGGAACTCTTCTTAAATAAAAATTTTTCTTAAATAAAAGTAGCCTAAGTTACTCCTTATAACATCAGCCAGGTCCAGCCGTTTCGGAGATTAGCCGGAACAAACAGGCAGACAAACATTTTAAAAATTGTGTTTTTGTATAAGTACCGTATATACTTTTATATCCATTTAGTGAAAAACTGTTATTTTGACATTAAAAACAGACACTCCAATTTTATTTATTTGTATATATTAGGAACGATAGTACATAATACATTCATTGAAGTTGAATAATAGCCATGCTGCAGCTATATTAGTAGTATAGTGTAGTATAGTACGGCTCCGTGGCGCAGTGGCTTAGCAATGAGTTGCTGAGCTAAGGGACGCGGGTTCGAATCCCGCACGGAACCAGTAGTTATATGGCCTACAAGCAATTGTTCCGGGTCTGGATGTTTGTCCTTGTGAAATTTATGTATGTAAACTGCCCCCACGATACAGGAGAAAATCCTAGTGTGGAGGTAATGTTTTTAAAAAAAATGACTAGAAAAAATAGTTGTAGTACGAATGGATCGGCTCGATCGGGGCAGAACCACGCTCTCACCAGCGTACCAGCGTAAAATGGCAGCTTGATACTGCTGTGTTTCGTATGGTGAGTGTAGAGAACCGGAGACCCTTTTTTACTGGAAAAGAGGCATTCCATCTTAGTCCTCACAGGTGACAACGCATCTGCATTTTGATAATTTATCGAGAATAGATGTAAATGTCTATGGTTCAAAGCAACCACTTACCATTAGGTGGAATGTGTGCTCATTTGTCAACCTATCCTGTAAAAAAAATTGTCGGTAGGATACACGCGCCACCTACTGTAAGTCAACTGTACTATGCATATAACCTTCCCGCAAGTGCAAGCCTTAAGATGTCAGTTTTAACTTAATCTGATGAATTGTATGGCAGCGAAAAATACGAACAATGTAATATAATTTTACAAAATAAACAATTTTGTAGGTAACTAATTTTGAAAATAACAGTAGGAGACACGCGCACACGTTATTACTACTAGACTAAGTTAGGTACTTACAATGTTTTTATTTTTGTGATTTTTATTTATTGGGTTCCATAAACAGTTTTCGGCTTGGTAGAGTTCTATAAACTGAAAAGTTTCTTCATTGGTCATAGTTACTGCCATTTTGTAGACACTAGTTACGACGCGTAAATACAAAATTTAAACGTGCGTGCGTGCGATCACTCTGAGAGCTTGTAGCAAACTGAACGTGCGGCCAACGTGTGGACGCGGCGGCCAATACTCTGCCACAACCCTTTGATCTTTTGTAAAAAACCGACACCAGACGGATCTCGCGCCAACTTGTGGGCCATCGTTCCAATACGTACCAACGTAGCTTAAACACCCGCTCTACACGATGGCCATCGTTGTTGGCCAACACACTGGCGAACGTGAAGAGCCGCCGTTCTCGCGCCAACTTGTGGGCCATCGTTCCAATACGTACCAACGTAGCTTAAACACCCGCTCTACACGATGGCCATCGTTGTTGGCCAACACATTCGCCAGTGTGTTGGCCAACGTGAAGAGCCGCCGTGAACCGAAGCAAACTTAACGACCTTCCAACGTGTGGACGCGATCACAATTTCTTGGCCAATAACTCTGCCAACACATTCGCCACTGTGTTGGCCAACGTGAAGAGGCGCCATAAGACGAACTAGCAGCGATACGAAAGGTCATTTACCTTAAAAACTACTGTGCAGTTGACAATCTATTATCTATCTCTTTCCATCTTTTGTATTTGTCGTAATGTCTCGTTTTCCCGGCAAAAACCTGTCAGGGTTAAGACGGGTTCGCCAACATTCGGCAGTCCGTTATTTGTTAAAATGTTTGTTATTTTTTGTTGTTTATTTAATTATTGTTATTTTGTTTTGTTGATAATTGTTTTTTATTAAGAATGGTTAATGATGGACCACAACAAAGTACGTCAAGAGATAAATCAACAGATTTTACTTCTCCGAGGAAACGTATAAAGGCATGTAAAGGAATAGGATATATATATGAATATTTTAATTAAAACTTCTTGGTTCAGAGTGTACTCTAAAGTTATCTTAAAGTTATTTAAAAAACAGCAACTGTAATAATAAAACTTGTCTTAATTTATTAAAGATGCATGTAAGTAAAGTATGATATCGTTTTAATTTAATTTTTAATTATAGGTGACTAGTTTTAGTGTGAATAAAAAATATGGTTATTAATAACTACAAATATGTTAAAGAAACTTGGCCTAATGATAAACACTCATACAGAAAAGAGATGTTGCAGAAAACTGCTAGTATGTTAGGTATCGGTGTTGCATCCGTATATAGAATCCTCACGGACTATAAAGAACACAGCGAAATTTTTTCTCCTGTCACCACCAAACCTAGACCAACGTTTAGTGACAAAATTGATGATTTTACTAAATCTTAAGAGACTCAGAAGAATCGGCGTCTGACTGGCACTGGCAGGGACCAAGCTCACGTTGCTCACGTACAATCAAATATAGCGGGGAGGGTCATTTCCCTAAAATAACGCGGCTCACTCACATAATATTACTGGTCGAGTATTCAGAAGAAAACCATTAAATTGATAATTTAAATTTAAAAATTTTGTACAACCGACTTCAATATAAATTATTATAAATAACTCAAAAACTATAGGCCAAACCTCAATCAAATTTATATGAAACTACATGAGGAGCACCATCTTTTAAATAAAAAAAGAATCATCGAAATCGATCCACCCAGAAATAGTTATGAGGTAACACACATAAAAAACATACAGCCGAATTGAGTACATCCTCCTTTTTGAAGTCGGTAGAAAAGATGGGGGCTATCTGTTATAGCACGACAGCTACTCCAAGGTTTAGGTTTAGGACAATACTGCGAATGAGCAATATGGCTCATTTTTTTTTTCTTGAGCCTTAGAGGTAGTCAAAATAACAGAACACATTTAAAAGGTAAGTCTTGAGTTTGAAATTAGCTAATCAGATTACTAAATTTAATATTTCTAAAAATATTGTTTGCTTCTGAACTTACCGAACTTACGGCCGCTGTGAGGTCACAGACACGGTCGCCACAAAGCAAGCCGCTGCGCGGCGCGAGCTTCCCCAAGGTTTTTGTGTTAATCGTTAGAATTAGCAGGTCCTAAATTGTAGATACATGATACAGTATATATTTATATATTTAATATAATAGATAATTATTGTTAACGACCTATCGTAAATGTCGTTAGAGGCGACTATGAAAAAGATTCAATGACTTCTAGATGGCGGTATAACCATCTCATAACGCAATAAGCATAAAATGCCCAGACCGACGACGGGAAGCAACGCTAAAGGTGATAAACGTATTGTAATACGATCTAAATCCACCTGACAAGCGTAACTTGAATCTGAATTAAGATTCAATTTCCAGCAGTGAACTTTCACAGGCTAATGAAGAAGTAACAGTCTAAAGAAAATCAACGACAGTAGAGAGCACGTGCTTTTAAACAGGAATAAGTGCAAGTGCTGTTTTTGATCAGTATCTCTTGTAGTTATTAATAACTTCTTTATGCAAACTGATTGGGTTAACAGGCTACGGAATAAATCGATAGACGAGGATACGAGTTTGTTTTACAGTAAATTAGAAGAATGTTTTGATCACTTTGTATCTTTAAAAAATGAAAGTAGCACTAAAGCATACTATCCTATTTAATATAATTCTGCTTTAATAAAAGTCATACGTGAAAAGGAAACGCTTTGGGAATCCCGTGTTCTCGTGAAAGGCTACTTCAGCAACAATGTTTTAAAAAGTACATCAACAGCGTAGAGGATGGTATTCGTCTCGCACCCAAGGCCTTTTGCCATACGTTAAATCCAAGTGTGGTGGTTCTCGGTACTCCAAGCAATTTATTTATCAGGGTAAGTCCATTACAGATGGCCATGTCATATGTACTGAATTTAATAGTTACTTTAATGGTATGTTTTTTTTTTCTTGCTCACAGAACGCTAGGTCTGCGAATAGTGACGGTGAATACTGCACAATTGACAAAATATCTGGTCTAACCGTAACAAAGGTGATGTTTTTAAAATGCTTAAGAAGCTAGATGTCTCTAAGGACCCTAGGTGTGATGGAGTAGCATCCGTATTTTTGCGCAACTGTGCTGAGTCACTAGCTTATCCTATTTATTTATTATTTAACACATCCTTAGAGCAATTTGTCTTTCCTATGTTGTGGAAGAAAGCATTTATTATACCGATTCATATGAAAGGTTCAAAAGTGGAAATAAGTAATTACCGTCCCATTTCTATATTAAACACAATTAGTAAAATGTTGGAAAAAAATATAGCAATGTCGATTTTTCCAAACTGTCTAAAACTGAGAAGCCGTAACCGTCACATAACGTACATCTACTTTTTATCAACTCCATCTGTATAATCGCAATTCTGTAAATGTATCAATTTGAAAAGCATGTTGTTATAATAGTAA